GACTCGTTTCACGTCGGGCCCGAACGCAGAACGTCAAACTTTTTCCCGCCAGTCATGCGCAGATAGTTATTTGGATTTTCCCTCAGAGCCTGCGGTCCCGGTCGCCGTCCCCGTTCTCGTTGCTTAAAGTCCCTAATTGTGCCGTTCAAACAAAAAGGTCAGTGAGACCTACCAATGCTGTTTTGAAGGGGGAGGGGGGTGAGGGGATAATGAAAAGGGAAGGGGGGGAAGAATGCGGATGGGATCGGAAAGAGAAAAAAATGCTATTACGACTCAACCAGACAACCAGTAATACCTTAGGGCATAGTTTTCTTGGTAAGGAAATTTTACCCAACTTGTTATGTTTCTCAATTATCTGAGGTATACATTTTGTCATAATCAACTTACTTAAGATCTTTTGCTGATACGTCACGGGATATAAAGGTAACTGCATTGCTAATTTAAATAATTATAGTTTGAATTCAAATAAGCAACTACTACAAAAGTTCAGACTTCTAAAGTTTTTAATCAACTTTATTCCTCCAAATTATTTGATTATCCATGACATCTACATCAAATAATATCTTCGGCATAACTGGCGCGAAAATGACGGCTTTTAAGTTAAACATTCGAAGAGGGTCGATCACCGGTCAAAGGCCCTGGGAATGAAGTTGGGTCTTCAATAAAGAGGGGGTTTGGGCTTCAGACCGGTTACCCCCAAGCATATTTTAACCACGGCCATACAAATTAATTTCTGCTTGCAGTCAGTAGTGGTCTTGCATTTTTTATCAAGGTCGTGGCACTTTTTCTGAAAAGAAAAAAAAACACCTCGTTACCCGTATTTTCTTTCAAATTTTTAGCTCCGCTTAAACAAAGATACTTTTATTTGAAAAGTACCAATTGCAGTTTCCTTTTAAATCAATGTTTCTTACTATTATTTCCAACTTACAGGTTTTTTTTTCTTCTTCTTTTTTGTCATTTATCTTTGATGATTTATGATCTCTAAGAGTCACTTCAATTTCCAAGGAAGTAAGAGCTGGGAGCTAACCAGCCAACAGTTGATAGCTAGTATCGCAGAGGTCATGAGTTTAAATCCCGTTAAGGCCTGAAGAAGTAGTGTTCACTACTGCGAAAATCGCTTTCATTTAAAAAAATATTCAGCATTAATTAATTAATTCACTCATTTATTTATTCATTCATATATTCATTTACTCACTCAGCTATCTAATCATCTATTTATTCATCTTTTCATTTAGCATGCGTACCTCTCCCACAGTTGGCGCGAGACGTGGTTTCGGTAACTTTGACTCGATGCAGTTTCTATAATTCTCACGACAATCCATTTTTTTGCAAGGGTCATTCTTAGAGAGCGCCAGACAAATCCCCCGTGAAATTTCACATAGCTTCTGTAGATGATAAAATAAACTTTCATAACTTGTAATTACATACATCACTCCTCTAAAGAGATCTTAGAAGTGTTGTTCTCTCGTTAGTTTAAAGAGATTTTAATCGAGTTAACTTGGATGGAGTTTGATGGATAGTGTTCATCAAACGAAACGAAATGGTCAAAAGAAACTCAACATGCTCGTTGTTGCGTCACCTGCTAATTTAAACCTGCAAGTGAAAACGTTTTAGCCCTTAAAAGAGAAACATTACGAAAAAAAGAACGATGATCTTATTAGAGAGGTTCAGAATTACTTCTGCCGATTTAATGCTTTTCTGCTGATACAACTAAACACATCAGGTAAAAACAAAACTGAGCTTACCGCCGAAAGTGTTGAAGGGAAAAGCGGTAGAGGAAATTTCGGATCGTTTTCCTCATCAGCCAACTCTCCCAACAAATTTTCTCTTTCTTCGTCGGAAAATTCATCGAGAGCTGAATGCTCAAAAGGCGATCTTGCCAAGGCAACCGAAGCTCCGAAAAACAGAACCAAAGGAAGAGTCTTCATCTTGAGTACAGTGCTATGCTGTCTGCAAGGCAATGTGATGAATTAACCCGAACAACGATTACTTTTATGCACCAACTTGTCTTGTTCTGCATTACAATCGACACACGTTGTAGGGTAAATATTCCGCCAGCGCAAAAGGCAAACAGCAGTTTACTTCATGCCATCACGTTTTTTTAGATCGCATAATACGGTCATATAACCAATTATCCTCACCTGTCTAAAATCTCACAGGTGGTCTGTTTAAGGCGGCCTGCGCTTGGGTGCTATCACAATTCACGCTTTTTATGTGAAATAGCTATGATATCAGCTTTGTTTTGCAAGTAAGGTCCACATTTTAAAATCAACAGAATAGTTAACTCAGTTATGTAAACTTTCATTTTCTTCTTCATGAACTCCTTATACGCTTGGGGATAAACAACTTTCTTATTGGGATGGCTGACAGAAAAGTGGAATTAATCAGAACTAGTGCGTGGGGGGTAATCACTGTGTTTTCCTTTCCTTTTCCTATTTAAACTTCATAAACGCCTGTGAAAACAGTAATAATGCCATGTCAGACTCGATTTCATAACAAAAGGAAAACCTGAGGGACGTTTAAATTAAAATAACAGAAAACTGCGAAATTATCTTACATCAGCAATAATAGTTCAATTTATGGCCTTTTAGATTGCCGGACTAGATAGATTGTAGACTGAGCAGACAAAGAAAAATAAAGTAAGAAAGGAATAGAATATAATGAGGTAACGGAACAAAGGATAAAACAGTAGAGAACTAAAAAGTTATTTCCTTTTCTCCCACGATTATGATAGCAAACCAGAATTCGAAAAAGGTAAAGGAAGGATGGCGGCGGTACGAGTGCAAGATATGACTCCAAAGAAAAAGTAAAAGCCACCTTGGTTTTAAAACTGTATGAATGAATGAATGAATGAAATCTTTATTTAAAACACGGTAAAAATATCAGTATGACAATAGCAAACAAAGAAGAAATTCATCTTAAGTAAAATTTTCTATTATCTGGTTTATATTTTCCGTGTGGAGAGCTCATACAGAGAGCCATTGATCAATTCTTCTTTTGAAGATGCGTAGAGATTTTGTAGTTCGAATATCGTCAGGAAGATCGTTCCAAAGAAAAGCTCCGCTAGAACTGAAGCTACGCTTCAGGAAGTCAGTTCTTGGTTTCGACAAGTACAACCTTTGGCTTGCGCCACGAAGATCAAAGGACAAGGTTCTCGGAGTGAACATGTTGCAAAGATAATTTATTAACGCATTTATACATAAAATTTGCCGTTTGCTTCGTCCTTCTTACTGATAAGTTATCCCAGCCGAGAGAGTTGAGAAGATAGCTGGAGTTCGTATTATAACTTGATTTAGTAATTACTCTGGCAGCGCGATTTTGTAGTTTTTGTAGTTTCTCACTCCGGCTGTTGGGACAAGCCGTCCCAAACAACACTGCAGCAGTTATCAAAATGTGGTTCGATAACACCTTTGCATATTTTAATAGCGGTGTGCATTGAAACAAAAGGTCTAATTCGCTTCAGTGCACCGATACTGGAAGAGACTTATTTTGAGATTGCGTGTATGTGCTCCTTCCAGGATTGGTTTTCATCTATGTTCAGTCCGAGAGCTTTGCTATGAGCTGCTTGGTTTATTTTGACGCCCTCTACATTAACATTTATTGTCTTGTCATTTAAAGACTGCAATTTTTGACGCGAGCTAATGACCATGAACTCAGTTTTTGCCACATTGAGGCTTAACTTGTTTGCTCTGAGCCAGAGATTAGTGCTTTTCAGTTCAGTATTGATTTGGGTCTCAAGACCATGCATGTCAGATGCAGCAAAGGTGACATTCGTGTCATCAGCGTACATTCTGGGAGAGCCTAGGCTCAAGCAATTTGTTAAGTCATTTATATAGTTCAAGAAAAGTAGAGGACCAATTATTGATGCCTGGGGAACTCTATAATTTAGAGCGGGCTTGCACTGGAGGGTGATTGTTTACATTGCATCGTTGTAGACGATTTGTTAGGTAAGACTTAAACCATTTCACTGCATCTTGATCCATCCCATATTTAGCAAGTTTTTGCAAAATGATTTCGTGATCTATAGTGTCAAAGGCTTTCTTTAAATCAATGAAAATTACACCATTGAATAGACCTTTGTGAACACTGACTCACCAATTGTTGCTTGTCTCCAACAGGGCAGGGAGCGTATTATGCAGGGGGCGAAAGCCAGACTGGCAACTAGTTAATAAACCATTTACATTTAGATAATTGTATAGTTGGTCATAGATAATTTTTTCAAAGATTTTGGCTACAGCAGGTATAACGGATATAGGCCGATAGTTGTTTAAGTTAGTCTTGGATCCATTCTTAAAGATAGGTGTTACTTTAGCCAGCTTCCAGTCGTAAGGGTAGATGTCAGACGGTGGTGATTGATTAAATTATACACGTTAAAGAGGGTGCGACGACATTGGCGGCTATTTTTAATAGTTTGCATGGAATGCGGTCAAGACCAATGGCCTTCCCTCCATCGATACCTTTCACTAAGTTTACGACCTCTCGGACACTGATCCTTTCGAAAGAAAATACCCTGTCAGAGGGTTTCACAAAGTCAAGTGGATCAATGTCTACAGTAGGAATTTCACAGGCTAGAGTCTGACCAATACGAGTAAAATGGTTGTTAAACACCTCTGCCATGTCTTCAGCTGAAGTAAAGACTTGATGCCCTGATTGAATCTGAGAGACTTTAGTAGATTTGCATTGGTGACATTGGAGTTTATTGATTAACCGCCATGTTTTACGTGGATCACATTTACTTGTGTCCAGTTTCTCCGAAAGATATTTGCGTTTGGCTTTCTTAATTGAGTTATTTACCTTATTTCTTGCGTCTTTGAATTCTTTCCGAATCAGAAGGTCATTTATAGATGTAGCTTTCTTTTTTAGAAAATCTCTTTTGTAAATTTCACGTAACAACTCACTTGTAATCCATGGAGATCTATATATTATTTCTATAATCCTTTTTGTTTTCAATGGTGTGTGCTTATCAATAACACCCATCAGAAGGTGTTCCCAAGAGTTCCACATTTCATGTGGGTTATTGAGCATGGAAACGGAGTTCCATTTATTCATACGAAGATCACATAAAAATTCATCTTCGTTAAAATTTTTGAGCTGTCGCACTTCAGCTGTTTTATGAACAAAAGAGCGGAAATGTGAAATTTTGCGTTTAAACTCAAGCTAGGAAATTTTATGTCGCGATCGAGAAAGTGTCCATCTCAGAAACTTTGTATTGGAAAGAGGTCATTGCGCGCTCTGCATTAGGCAACTGGCTGCAGGAACGGCCCGGGTTTATTCAGGATCGCTAAATAATGAGTAGAAGATAACGTTTCAAAAAAGTGACTTCATATATCATAATCCGGTATTCGCTAATCACACATGCTGCCAATTTCACACTAATCTTTATCCAAGAGAGTGTCTCACTTTGCGTACAGTCTGCGCTGAAAAATGATGTGATATTTTGAGTGTCTATAGAAAAGAGTTTTTTTTTACTATTCATTCATGCTAATATTCATTCTTCAATTTTATCCACAAACGTGTAAACTTGATCAGAATGAAACATGTGCTTAACTCTGTTCGCAAAGAAAATGCAAATTAACTCAAAGGAGAAAAATGGAAACGTGGAATTCATTGCCTTCTGAATATTCAAAATGAATATCAATGAAGAATTTTTTTTATCAAAAATGCGTATTCTTTGGGAAAGAGAGAGCAATCAACTCCCGTAGCACTTATCACAATAACATAAGAAAGAGGCAGAGGTGGGTAGAGGAACGTCCATATCAATTTAGACCTTTTGCTGACGAGTCTCAGGGTCTAAAGGTAACTACTTTGCTAGATAAATAGCTGTAGTTTTAATTTATATAAACAACTACTTCAAAAGTTCAGACAAATGTTTTAATCGACATAATTCTTCCAAATTGTTTGACTATCCATGACATCTATATCAAAATCAAATACTTCCATTTATTTCGGGATAATTGGCGTGAAGATGACGAGTTTCAAGTTGAACATTCCAAGAGGGTCGATCACCGGTCAAGGACAAATGGGACGGAAGCTGGTTCTTCAAGAAACAGGGAGACTGGGCACTAGATGAGCTACCCCCAAGCATATTTGAACCGCGGCTATGCATATCAATTTCCTTTTGCAGTCAAGACCAGGTTTGCCCAAGCAAGGTTTACCGTTATCGAGGCACTTTTTCTGAAAATAAAAATGCACAGAAACACCTCATCATTCGTTATTCATTTCTAAAGTCTTCAGCTTTCCTTAAGCAAAGATACATTTATTTGAAAAATACCTACAGTAACTGCAGTTTCCCTTGAAATGAACGTTTTTTTTTTTTTTTTTTTACGTCAACAAGATAAAGCAATCGGTCCATGTGGTCCTTTACCTATTTGAAACGAATTTCCGATTTACAGGTTTCCCTTTTCCTTTTTTCTGATTTATCTTTTACGATAAATGATCTCTAAAATTCACTCAAATGTGCGAGGAAGTTCAGCCAACGTATTCTTTCAAGTGCATCAAGCCAATCAATGTAAGACCCTTTGAAGTTACAGGTCAGATTTTTAACGGAGTCTGTTTCTTCTATCTTTGTAAAGATCCTCAGTGAAAAAGCTCCAGAAAGGCCAATGAAACAGCTCCACAACTCTTTACTCTATAGCTCCATGGTTTGAGCAAAAGTAATTGAATTCAACTCAATAATTATATCTTATTAACCAAGCGCGAGGGGCGTACTGGGAGAATATCGGCCCGAGGTCTTGACAGTACGGACCGAGCGCAGCGAGGTCCGTACAAAAAAGACTGAGGGCCGATATTCTTCCAGTACGGTCCCGAGCAAGCCTGGTTAATAAGAGATTTATTATACAACTGAAGTTCAAAGCGACACAAGTGCGGTATCATTCGGGACCATTCGGGACAGTGCCCGGTCCAATACTTAGAGAATATTGGACCGGCAATAGAGCATTTTGATTGGTTGATTTTAGTTATTGGCCCTCTGGCTGCCCGAGTCGTGTAATAACTCGCATTTATTGAATCATTGAATCATTCAGTCATGCATTTATCTATCTCATTATCTATTTATTCATACGTTTATCTAACATACGTACCTCGCCTGGGGTTAGCGGTAGCTTTGACTTGCACGTTAGATATTTCTCAAGACAAGCCACTCTTTTGCAAGCATCATCTTTAGAGACTTTCAGGCAAATCTCCCTTGAAAGTTTACATATCGACTGTTGATGAAAAAAATAAACTTTCTCTACTTTTATTTTCCTACTCATCCCTTTAAAGAGATATTAGAAGTGTTTTTCTTGTGTGTCATTAGTTTGAACGAAATTTTGAGAGTTGCTCAGAGATAGTTTAATGTACAGTATTCATAAAATAAATACTAAATACATAGTAAACTCGACTGGCTCGTTATTACATCACCTGCTAATTTAAACAAGTAAATCATTTTTATGCCTAAAAGAGAATCGTTATGATATACAGGAATTGCTCCTGCCTAATATATGCTCTGGATTTACCTCGAAAGGAAAGCCAACTGTTGGTTTATATTGCGGATCGTTTTCTTCATCAGCTAACTCTCGCAACAAACGTTCTCTTTCTTCATCTGAGAGTTTATCGAGAGTTGAATGCTCGAAAGGCGATTTTGCCAAGGCAACTGAAGTTCCTAAAAACAGGACCAGTAGGAAAGTATTCATCTTGAATACTGTGCTATGCTGTTTGCAAGGTAATGTGATGAACTAACCCGAACACCGATTAATTCTATATATTAACGTGTCTTGTCTTGCATTACAATCGACACAGCACATGACGAAGAACTCTTTGCCCAGGCGTTGTAGGGGTAAATATTCCTCCAGCGCAAATGGCAAACAGTTGACTTTACGTCATCAAGTTCCTCTAGATCTCATAAAAAATAACACATAATCCTTTCATCAATCTCACGGGTGGCCTGCGCTAGGGTGCCAACCTAAGGCAGGCTTTCCCATAGTTATTACAAAAGATGACGCAAATCTCGTCGGTAAAAGAGATGCAGCTTAAGCTTACTATGAACTAAAGATTCCGAGGCGTAAGGATACCGTGACATGAGATACGAAATATAACTGTGATATCAGCTTTGTTTAGCAAGTAAGGCCCACATTTTAAAATCAACAGGATAGTTAACTCAGTTATGTAAACTTTCCGTATCTTCATTGTTCTCTGAGAGATAAACGACATTCTTTTTGGGATAGCTGACATAAAGCGGAATCAATCAGAACTATAGTGCGTATGAGAAATCACAGTGTTTTCCTTTTCCTTTTTTTTATGTGAACGTCAGAAACGCCTTTTAAAACAGTAGAAATGCCATGTCAGACTCAATTTGAAAAAAAAAGGAAAAACCTTGAATGATAAAACAAAGTAACAGAAAACTGCATGTTCCTGCTAAATTATCTAGCACTTGAAAGCATAGTTATCTTTTGTGGCTTTTTGGAATGTTCACTAGATAGATCGAGGGCTTAGAAGAAAAAGAAAAATGAAGTACGAAAGAAATAGAATGTAATAAGGTAACGGAGCGAAGGCAAACAAGTAGACGACTAAAAACTCATTTTTTTCCCTTCCGCGATTATGATACGCTACCAGAATTGAATTAGAAAAAGGTTCTGTAAACAAAACGGTACGCGCGAGGGAGGGGTGGGAGCGACACGCGTGTTGGAAACGACGCCAAAACAAAAGAAAAGCACCTGATCTTAAAATTTTTTAGGAAATTCTACCTTCCTGTTTAAACTCAAACGAGTAAAATATTATTACTTGGTAAGACTTCTACAAACTTTGAAACGGGAAGAGGTAATTTTGCACTCTGCATCTGGGCAACTTCCCCATAGGATCGCTTATCATGAATCAGGATCGCTTATTAATGAGGCAAAGGACAAAGTTTCGAAGAATAACTTCAATGAGCGTAACCTGTAATAGTCTTATCGCGTATGGCTGCCATTTGTACGTCTTAAATGCCTCAGTTTGCTTGAAGTCTGCGCTCTTTGGCCGATGTTGTTTAGAAAAAATTAAATAATATGACAGACGTGACACCACTGCTTAGGTTAGAAAAACATGATTTACTCTCTTGGTAAAACTCTGAAATGAAAGGCATATTATGATATTATCATGGTAATAACATTTGGATTGTGGCCAGAGATGTAATTCTTTTTTCTTTTTTTCCCTTTTTTTGGCAACCAAAATTTGACCTCTAATAAACTGGTAAAAGAATACTCGTTCTTCAATTTCATCGACATATCTGTAATCTTAATCAGAATGAAATATATATGTGCTTAGCTCTGTTCACAGAAAAAAGAAAATATGAAAAGTTTTTATTATATAATTTTATTTGGATACAATGTATATATGAAGTTCATACATTTTGAACTGCGGTATTAGATACGTATAATGCACGATCCTTGCAGTAGAGAGCGCAATTTATGCAATAGCGAAAATCAGACCTGAAAAAAAAAAAATCTGGCCTCTACGGGATTCGAACCACTGACGTCTGCGATACTAGTGCAGCGCTCTACCAATTAAACTAACAAGCCAACTGGGAGCAAGCCGTTAAGTTGAT